TAACGTATTTTTTCGATTGCAAATCGACCTGCCAAATTCGATTGGGGTAGGATGCCCTGCACATGTTTTGAATAACTGTTTACACCATGGCACCAATCAGACGAGCATTGATGTGGAAAATATTATTTACAAAACGTACCAATATTTCAGCATATACACTGTACGCACAGAAGAACTAAAGGATTGTAACTTTGTGGATACACAGTATCAAAAAACTGCTTTCCCAATGCGTGACCAGATGGCTATCACTTTATCCAAGTTTATCTAGAATGATTCAGTTGTACCTTGCCTTGCAATAATATTTCCGGTCTATTGAAAAGCCACCTGTTGCTCTAAAAAGATTTCATGAAAATCCTGTGAGTGAGTTGTATTTAAAACATTTGCAATCGTTTGTTGCAGTGTTTAATGACCAAATTAGGCATATTGAACACTCAGAGGCCTCAATTATTAAAATCAAAGCTTGTCTTAACACTGTTAAATCTACGATTGAAGAAAAAAAAACACATGTTCATACAAATCCAAATTAAATCTGAATTGCGTAGACTCAGAGACGAATGAAATGGCCGCGAATGTGATGTATTTCTCTCAGATGTGGCTTTGTTGTACGAGTCATGCGTACAATACCTCGAAAAATGGACAGCTTCGTTTAAGGAATTCAAATGCGTTGACTGGATGCTTCTGATTCAAAACACCGAGTGGAGAATTGTTGAACCGTGCGTTGAGTATCTGCTTGCGAAAAATGTTTCGATTGATGAAGCCAAGTAATTCGGCCAATTCCAAAACTTATGCAAGTTCGTAGAAAAGCAACTTCAATCCAATTCAGTTTCCTACTGTAAGCTCATGGCACATGAAAGATGGACAGAGTATTTCAAATCCTGCAGCACCAGCTACTTTAACAGCGAACTGATAAAGATCGCACAATATTACTTCAGCATTATTGCGCATAACGCCAACGTTCATTTTCTCTTTAATGCAACCACAATGGTCGAAAGAACGCGAAAACTTCCTATTTGAGTCTGTTGCTAGCATAATAACTTTAGTTTACAATTTAACGACAGTTCTTGCAGCCAGTTTTACGATATTGCAAAAAATAACCCAGCAAGGTTGATTAGGATCAGAGGAACTTCCAAATACTCGTGGTCTAAGGACAAATCGATTATTCCGCAGATGTTTTTTTTTTAATAAAGACAAAAATGCATTAACTCATTGTCGTCACATCGTCTATTGTCACTTCTATTTTTAATCCTAAAAATTTAGTGGATATATAACAGGTGAGATGTGGTTTTACCGAACAATATGTCCTCCTTCCAGAGATTGGAAATATGATCACCCTACTAATAGGTGACGATTAGAGTTGCCAAAACTTACTCAAATGACACTCAGCGTGGGTCTTCAGAATCAATCAATCAATTTACTTCTGGTAAAATAAAACAACATAAAATATTACAACAAAAGGATAAACAAAATGCAGAGATACCCAGAATACGAGCATAGCTTTAGCCTTAAGACAAAGTTAAAAATAGTTAAAAATAGCTACAATAAACTCGGTGTTAACAAAACAAGGAATACAAATTACATTCCTATGGTCACCAGCTCACGTAGGAATTATCGGAAACGAAATAGTGGATAACCTGGCAAAAGGAGCAATCAACAAACTTTCCCTCGATGCAATTCTGCCACTTTCCGTCTCAGAAGCAAAATCATATTTTGATATATTGGCTCGAGAAAAATGGAATACGGAATATGTTAATAATGAATCAGCAAGCCATTATAAAAGATTGCATCCTACCACGATGTCACGACAAGAGAACGAAACTTTGTCACGTAAATATCAAGTTATTTTATTCCGACTGCAAACTGGCCATTGCGCCCTGAATGCACATTTACATAAAATTGGCTGTCATTCTGACGGATTTTGTGAACAGTGTTTCGTACCCGAGACCGTAGACCACTACCTATTGCATTGTCAACGATATAATCATCAAAGAAGACCAGTCATTAGCAAAGCCAGAAAACTCAAACTGGAAATGACTTTGGAAGAAGTGTTTAGTAACATGGATATTATTGAAACTGTTATCGAATTTGTTTTGTCTACGGGCAGAAATATTTAGAAAAATTACCTATTGTAATTGATTCAATTGTATAATTATATATTCGTAAATATTGTATTATATGTTAGTATAGGATTTTAAATTCAAAATGATCAAAGGCGCAAAAGACCACTGAAGTTATAAGCGCCATAAAACATAACAACAACAACAACAACAAAGTTAAAAACATACAAGTACGCCCGTCTACAGTTAAAACGAACAACACATTTAACATATAGGATACTGTTGTGTCCCTGGCATTGACTAATGAACTATACAAGAATCCAACTTGACAGAAACATCAATTTAATGAAAACAAACAATAACACCGCTCAGCAAGCAAACTCAGAACAGTGTACTGAATCACTAATATCACACAAGGCTCTACAAGAATGATGCAATAGGGGAACAACGTCAACTAGTGGAAACTTAAAATATATGAAAAGTCAATACATAACATATACAAAATCGGCCAATAACTTTTGAATCGATTTAAGTTATGAAAACACTGCTCAAAAGAAGAGCAGGACAACACTTTGCCCAAATAGAATTCAATACATTTGTGTAGCCGCGGTTGTCATATGGTGCAATATTTTCAATGAGGATAGAGATACATGACGTCACAAATTTTTTGGCAGATCTGCATGGAGATTGATGTACTGCCAAAACCACAAATGTAATACAAGATTCTAGGGTTTATGAAAACTGCATATGGCATACACGTGAATTTCATTCCCACTATTCCTGTACAATCCGTTGCCATGGTAAGGAATATTTTAGTTTTTCAACCTTAATCTGTACAACACAAGGCTATCGTTGCTGTCCACTAGTAGTGACCAATTTTTTTTATTATTTGAATGTACTGTGTCAACTTAACTGTACTTGATTTACTATTGTCGCGGACTAAAGTGTCCGTGTTGATATCGTGTGTACTGTATATATATATTTTTATGTTTATAGACTGTAATGTTGCGAACTCCCTCCGTTTCCCAGACATTTTCAAAAAACAGGCGCTGTATAGCAGCACTTATTACCACAGAAATCCGCGTAGAGATATTAATAAATTTAGAATCGAATTTTGTTTTATGTATTAAATTTCGGGTCGTTCGAGGGCTGCAACAAATAAGCTCGTGGGCCAAGTTTGCCGACCCCTGCATTAGAACATGGTTTTCAATTCACTGAGCGTGAAGCCTTCCGTCCGCGTTAATTTTGCCAAATCGTGCGAATCTCTGAATAGCTTCCTGTTTATTTTGTTGAAAATTGGAAGGTCCCTCATTCTGATATAAAGTATGATCTATTGGAGGGAGGCCTACAGCCATGTATGTTTTGGAGTTCGTCATATCGCCGATATACAATATATATATATATAAATTGGCAGCGATGCTTGTTAAGTTAAACTATTGTAAGTTAGGTTTAACTTCATAATTGCACAGCTGCTAATCACAAACAGTTCTAACTATCAAGATCCGAATAGTTGAATTGCAGCATGATGTAATATTTATTTGCAAGTGTAAATCAAACCAACAAATAATTCATATAAAAAGTGAACATTTGTGAATTAGGCAATAAATGCTACATATATATATATATAGCAAAAAATGTACGAAGGTAGTAGTTTCAATTTTTTGAATCTGCGAAGGAAACGTGTACATTTGTTTGTTGACTTTGTGGACGCCAAACCTTGGCTTAGTTGCGGTATTGATAGTAACAAATTCACCAATAAAGACATATCAGACACCCTTTATATGTAAATATAGTTTGATGTAGTGAGTTTGTTTTGTAAAGATGAAATAACGAATCAACATACAACACTTGATGGAGTGAATACACCGAAAAAAGTATATCTCAATCAAATTTATTTCTGTCGGGCAAAGCACATATCTTCCCATCCTATACTTGTTTTTTGGTTGTGACTGGCAAATGCATTCCACATATTATAAATTCCCTTTGCAGTCGGGGCTAGGGTTTTGAAGTGTGAATATCCCATCAATCCTGAAAAATGTTATTGCTATAATATTGCATGTACTGATTTTATATATCACAATGTAACACTATTATATTTACCTATTGGTGTGCAGAACCCCATGAACAAATAGGTGTCGTAATCTGTCATGAAGAAATACTCTCCTCGGAATAGGTTGTTTGCATCTGAAATGATTGTTATAAGCGAGTGCTAATAATGTGAAGCTTGTTCCTAATATTGCAAATTGGAAGGATGAAAATACTCAATGAAATATCATTATTTGGATTTTTTTATATATTAGCGGAAAGTCTTGGGATTTATTAGTGAAAAATAATCATAATCAGCGCAACAATTTCTACTTACACGTCTCTATATCATCACCGGTTGCGTCACCACCCGGGGTGTCAGAATACAACTTCCTGGATTTTGCCACAAACGCAGGTTCTAAAAGAACAATAATCGGTTATGTCCAGCAGTGTTGAGAATACAAAGCAAGTAATATTTCTACACCATCAGATGTATAATATGGTACGTCGATGCAAATTTGATTCGAGTTTGAATGGACATTGTTTATAAATGAAATCAATCAGATAAATTTTGTAGCATAGGTACCGTTTGACGTCATTATCAAGTTTTATTAAAAAATAAAATAAATATTGAAATTGCGATTTGGTGCGATGGCGTCTCGCTTGGGATAAGAAATTATGAAAAACGGTTTAGAATTATTACAAAATAAATTCAATGGGAACTATTTCTACTTGTGTTATGTACGTGTCACGTTATTGATCATAATTATAATTCATATGATACAAATTTGCTCTCACTGAGTTGTTGATCTATTACGTATGTTTCGTCCTCTCTTCGTATTAGGTGTAACCGAAACTCCAGTGTATTATCCTTGTATACCCTTTAGGAAAGTAATAATTAAGCAAGCATGTAAAAATGATACTAAAGAGGTCGTCAAGATTACTGCTAGTTTACCCGCGAACGAACTCAGTCAGGTTGAACATAACTCCATTTTCCACTAATTTGAAACGATGTATGTCATGACAAGTCCTCCGGAATTTATATGTATCACCGGGATTCGGGATGTCGAATCCATCGAACCATTTTCCTGTAGCTTTGCTGAACTGAAAATATAAACACACTTTCATCAATTCGATGCTTGTAACGGAGCCCATCAGGTACTTTTCCTTTAAACGAATCTGCCCAAAGCGCAAAAACGTGTAGGCCTACAGTAGGCTAGCCTATATTATTTTGTTTTTTTATGTCGTACCCGATCGCTGATTCCATAGATTGTTATACACCGGACGTGAATAATAATGAGAGACATGATTTTAAAGTGGCATGTGAACCTACATTAACATATATATTCAGAAATTTGTATTATTGAAAAAAATTATTTAAAAGATTTCAGTCTTTATAACTTAATTATAATGAATTTCATATTTAGTTCTGTAAGGAATAACGAAACTAAGTTAGTGATCTATTTCCAAGGTTACTTACCCTGTCCCAGTCAATAGCTTGATATTCTTCCATTTTGGGGCAAAGTTGGGAAATTGCGGTTCCTCCCAGAAAACATATTACAGTCAAAAATAAGTAGCCGTTTGTTCCAACCATTCTTGAAAGAATATGTCGCAGGTACTGTTGTCAAATGCGCTCATGAAAACTTGGTATTCCTTTATATAATTTTCTCAAATAAATGTCGTCATAGTCAGAAAAAAATGTGTTTGCTTGATTTCAAGGGGCAGAGCAATTGCTAACACTTCATTTATCATTTTTTCACACATGAACAACACAATATAAATAATGTATCGAAGCTAATCTAACAGCTGTAATTTTTCGTTGACACGGAATACATGCACGAATAAGGTTTTGGCATGCATTTTGCAAATTCGAAATGTCAATGTCGTCAAAATAGAAGGTTTGAACTATTCTACCGCGGATGTTGACTTCACTGTTGTTACTTATCGATCTTGATCGGTAAGTATGTTGATAGGTATTTGTCTGTTTAGAACCATAGAAAATTGACTGTCATCGCTTCCTCTGGCACAAAGAATAAGGCACGTAAAATGTCGTTTTTAACAAAATATTTTGCCAAATCACGTATATTATTTAGTTTATTATAGTAAAGGATTAAAAAATACTAGACAACTGGTCTTTTGTCAAGAACGTTCAATTCTAAGAACACAGGAAGTGACATGGAGGTATTTAATCTCCGAAGTTTTTTGACGCCATTATCGTCCGCCTTGATATATTCACGAATATGCTACATACAAGGACGCGTGCAGATAGGAGTGCTATTTTTACAATACAATCCCGTTATGATTAATATATCAATGTAGTAGTTTAAATAGTAAAACTGAATAACAAATTACGAAAAATATATAACGTTCCCGATATTCATATTTTATCAGCTCGTTTTCAATTTTAACAACCCGTCAAATAGGGAAATACAAACTATCAAATTTCGGTACAGCATTTTTTTCATTCGACGACCAAGTCACTCACGCGTTATGTCCCTAGATGTTTTTCTGACCCGTGGCCAAAGAAAAATGCTCAATTAAATGAACGTAAGACATAATTAGAATGATTGATACTTGGTTAATCATTTATCAGTGGTTGATCGAAACTGCATCCCTGAAACTCTGATGGAACTAAATGAGTAACACTGTGATCGGCCTCGCTTACATTTTGTATAGATTCAAAAATTGATATATTCGTGTTTAACAATTGAATAATCTTGAATACTACTCCTACTATTAAATTCAAAAGCACTTTTATCAATAGAGCAATGCTCGCTTCTCGGTCTGTTAATTCTTGAATTACCCCATTATGAATTTAATATTTCTTTTCATATATATATCCTAATCATTATTCAAATATGCTCATTGGGCATAAAAACCACAAATTTTTTCACCATATTCACAATTTATTAACTTTCTAATCCCTCAATAAATTTCCTAAATGTGTACAGCTTTAAACATATTGACCCCAGAGTTTCCTTCAAAGGCATATATATTTATGTTGATCATGGGGTAAAGCTGACCATAGCCAAACCTGATAACTAACTTCAATCATTAGTTTCTTGTATTTGTGTATTTTTTCAAGTACTTTAAGTATAAAATACTCAAATACAGCGGTTCCCAAACTATGGGTCGCGACCCACAGGTGGGTCGCAAAAGGAATCTTGGTGGGTCGTGAAAAGATGTAGAAAGCTTTGGTTAAAAATACTAGTTATTAGGATCGGTGGCGACTCGAATACGTAAATCTTCAAAAAACAAAAGAAATTAAATTGAATTTAAATTCTAATCTGTGAAAGTTTCCTTTTTACCATCTTTTCAAAGGAACAAGAATATGCTACACAAAAAATGACCATGTGGCTTTTTTTACGCATAGCAGGTTTGTACACTGTACAGCACTTCTTACCGTGTTTCCCCGAAATTTAAACAGGATTTAGATTTATTTTCTTTTGAAGAATAACACCATGTTTTTTTTGGAAGAGGATTTTTGTATTCATTTATCAAAAATAAAATTACATTGTAGAAAATCACAACATTTTTTTACTAAACATTATATAAAAACCGACATCCATTGTTTTTATTTGTATTCCCTATACGAAAATCAAGTGACACATATCATAATTGTGATATCACACAATCTTGAATAGTGGTGTGATCTTCACCTTACCTCAGGCCAATGAACCTTTCTTCTCTCACACATTTTAAATTTATTTTAAGGTAAGGGTTTAATTAAAATCATTTTAAAAATTCAAATTATTATCTTATTTTCAGGCCAGGTCTTCATTTCGAGGAAACATGAACAACATTTATATTTGTTTTTGGTTGTCAATAAATCGATCTATCAAGTGGGATCAATTGTAATATTATTTGTAATTGATGTAATTACAGTTTTTCATGCAGTTGTAACGTAATCAAGGTATTTTCAGTCTGTGTAAATGTAATTGTGATTTGCTAAAATTTTGGCTCAATTACACTTTCAATTACACCAGGGGTCACCAAACACGAAAAAAGACGAAATATTTTTCCAAGGGGCGTTTTCCGAAACGACACTCAGACAGATTTTCAGTCGTGGTTGTAAACAATACCTCATTTTGCGATTTCGAATGATATTCGTTAGTTTTTAGTTGTGTTTCGAAAATTTAAGTATGAATCAAATAAGTCAATCATCATTTGCCTCCTTAGGAGTTGTAGTTTCAAAAGTTATGATAAAAAATAAGTCTAGAAATAGCTGTGATAAAATAAGCTGAATCCATGGGAACACTGGCTGTTTGGTTCGATTCTGTAAATTCTTGCTACGCGAAACTCGGGAATTTTTTTGAGGGTAGCAGTAGCGTCAAGGGTAAAACTGCTTCGCTCTGAGTATCGTGTTCATATATTCGAGCATTGCCCTGTTGTAATTGTAGATGTAATTGTAATTTGATATTTTTGCACGGAGTAATTGTAACGTAATTGAAATATTTAAGGAAGTAATTGTAATTGAACTGAATCATTGTAATGGATCCCACTCTGCTATCCACTAAGATCAAGTAATGGGACTGCCCGACCGTTGCCATTGTGGTCGTCAAGAAGATCTGGCCGCCACCACCGCTATCTGCATTATGTTCTGATTTCATGTTATTCTCGCATTTCTAAATGCGAAGGGCTGTATTCGCCGGTATTATCGACGCAGTATAGTTTTCCTCCGATCTAAGAGGTCTAATGGTGTTGATGGATAAGACGAGTCCTTTTCTAGACGTGGCTTTGTCCACTTACTGTTTCTGGCAATGTTCGGGGTTTTCACCATTGTGTCTCTTCGGATTTCTTCCGAATAGTTCGATCGCTCCTACCAATCTGCCTGGGCAACCGAAACTTCTATTTCTCTGGCCACGTGAGTATATACTGTCTTTTTCGCGCCATTGGTTAAGAAACCCCCGCATCAGGCCATGGGCGCTTTTGGTGATTGAAACCTCCACAGCATACTTCGTTGTCGAACTGATCCAAGTTATACAGTCACGCAATCTCGTCTTTCTTGGTTGGTTTGTTTGAAAGAAGGATTGATAGTAAGCCAAAAATTGTCGGGTTATCAGTAAATCGCTCGGGGGTAGAGAAAAATAGTATTAAAGGGCGTAGTTTGTGTCTCACTGTAAATGCCGCAAAATCGCTTTTCAAAAAGCATAAGGGCATGATCCCCAGCTTGATGGATTACGTCAAGCTATGAGGTATCTAAATATATATATATCGAAATGTAGGATAAGTAAACATCTTTCTTCCAAACTTGACCACATGCGCACAACGTTCTACCATTTTTGATCATTTCTCTAAAAGACATAGCGAAACATCGATTTGACATTAAACAATTTCAGTTCAACAATCGTGTAATGTCATTTGTTCTTCTGGCACAGTTTGAAGCTGAGCAGTTGAGCCGTTTGAAGATTGACAGTCGAAAAATGTCATTTAAAAAACGACTTTGACTTCGTTTGTTTGGCTTTTGTCTGTATGTGACATCCTAATAGGTGACGATTAGAGTTGCCAAAACTTACTCAAATGACACTTAGCGTGTGTCTTCAGAATCAATCAATTAATTTACTTTTGGTAAAATAAAACAACATAAAATAAAACAACATAAAATATGACAACAACAAAAGGATAAACAAAATGCAGAGATACCCGGAATACGAGCATAACTTAGGCCAAAGTTAATAACATACAAGTACGCCCGTCTACAGTTAAATCAAACAACACATTTAACATATAGGATACAAAATCGGCCAATAACTTTTGAATCGATTTAAGTTATTAAAACACTGCTCAAAAGAAGACCAGGACAACACTTTGCACAAACTAGAATTCAATACATTTGTGTAGCCGCGGTTGTCATATGGTGCAATGGTGCATATGGTTTTAATGGAGATAGAGATAGCCTACATGACGTCACAATTTTTTCTGTTAGATCTGTATGGAGATTGATGTATTGCCAACAACACAAATATAATCCAAGATTCTAGGGTTTATTAAAACTGAATATGGCATATATACAAGTGAATTTCATTCATATTATTCGATTCGTCACCTGGTACATTGTTTCTATGCATAGAATCATTTTAAATAACCTCCATCTGTACAAGCCGTTGCCATGAACCGGTAGGGAATATTTCAGTTAACCAACCTTAATCTGTACAACACAAGCTGATAGGCTATCGTTGGTGTCTACTAGTAGTGGCCAAATGTCTTTATTATTTGAATGTACTGTGTCAACTTAACTTTACTTGGTTTACTATAATTTATTGTTTCCATCTTTGCACGTCGTTTAACACTTTCCATTGTAACCTATTCGTCACCATCAAAATCACTAAACTATTTTTCATGGCAGAAGTGCCTTGGCTTCGGGTAACCAGTTGGAGCGGGAAATACCGCGTTCATCTGGTCTGTAACAAATATCTACCTCTAGTAAGAGAATTTTGTTAGATAGTTGGCAATACGTTACGGATATCACGAAAATGGGAGTAGTTCCGCATATAAAATGCCCGATATTTTTTATTAGATATTGGAAGCTTGGGTGTCGCTTATTGATAACCAGCTTCGGTTCCTCGCGACTTCCCTTTCGCGGTCTTTCTGTGTGATTAAATTTTTTCTCGAACATTGTATATGATTGATTTTTTATCGGTTGGAAAAAATAAACTTGAACTTCTAGTAATGTCACACAAAACAATAGTGCAAAAATAATATATAATTGTGTCCTAATTTACACATCTAAAAAGACCAATTTGCAGATCGGTGACCTGAACATTCGCCGGTTGCACCCGAACTACTGCATTATTATGCATGAACACACGCACACATGCAATTGCAAACAAAGGCTAAAGCGGTAGACTCGGAAAATTCATTCTTGGGCATCTGAACTGTCCACAATATAGTGTATGGACACATAAAATTTCCGATCCCGGTGAAATTGAATTGTCCAGATCAGGGGTCACCAAACTTTTTTGACCGCGGGCCGGGTATGACTCAAGTTGTGTTGAAACGGGCCGGATGAATATTTTTGTCAATGCAATACAATAAATTCACAAATGTTGGGAATATCGCAGAATATAGATCGAGAACATCCTAGGAAAAAAAATGAACAAGATTTCTATATCTAGACAACTATCCTGAGTTTAGCTGTTATCAAAACGTTGCTGTCATGAATTAGAAATGTTACAAAATCCGCGGCAAAAAATGTACGCATCACGTCTGCTAAGTACCGTTACGCCGTGTTGAAATACCGCTCATAAAAACGACTGCCTGTTGTAGCTTGGAATTCTATGAAATTTTGACATAATTTAGATAGAATAAACAACTATTATCTGGTATTTGATTTTTTTCATTAGCGCATAAATTTCCGAACATTCGACGCTTTTAAAAATTACGCTCCAGTTATACGTAGTGCAAATTAATGATATTGTCTATGGACACCAATAAAATTTATGTGGATGTGTGTATTTCTTTCCTAACTTGATACAATTTTTATGAAGTTTGTACAATCAGAACATCGTTAATTATTACCCACAATGAACCACTGTCAAACTATCATGCACAACTCCAGCGTTTATTTGGGACGATCTTTCGGCGGTGTCAATGACCGTTGCCAGAATAAAATCCTGAAATAGTCTCAATATACCATAGATGTGACGCACATCGAAAGATTAGTGATTGATTAGTGTTCTTTGTCCATATTTAGTAAGCAGTACAAAAGTTAGTGTAGCTTTTGAAATTGGAGCCGTACGCGAGGGATTACAGTAGGGTAAAGTGGGGAAGGTTGGGACACTTTTTTTCTTTTTGCATATTTTGAGCCGTTAATTCAGCATATTCACTCAAGTTGGCGGGACAAATGCATAGAGGGGTAAATGTAGTTTTTATTCAGCGACTAAGAAATTTCCTTGCGACACACATTTTATTACCAAAATGCTTTGAAATCGTTTGTCAAGTGTTCCACTGTACCCCACTTGTGGGGCACATTCGAACAGACTCTGGGGCACAATGGGTCAGTCTGCCAAAATTCAACGAAGTATGCCCTTAAAAATAAGCACTTAATCAGCATAATCGTCTAAAGAACCGTGAGACTTCAAATTTGAAGATTTAATATTTTTTAAATCAATGTTCAACTGGAATAGTTCAGATATTTGGAAAAAAAATTTTGCAAATAAAACTGATTATTTCCTTCCGTGAATCTAAATGTGGAAATATTATTGATTCTCGAATATATTCCATATTGGGCCATGGGTCGAAAGAAACCATAATACTACACAAAATATAACGCATCTCTAGGTCTCTAAGCACTTATTGTATCAAACACTGTCGAATTGTGCCCTGTAGGGCATGTCCCACTGAACCCAGGTCCATTGTTCCCCATAGGAAACAAATATTTTCAGACCATCCCACGGCGAAATTCGGAAGGCACATCCACTCGCCAACGTTATGAATATTTTACAGTGGACTAAAGCTGAAAAATATCAGACGGTGGTTTGTCATGTTGGGAAGGCTACAGTAGAAAAAAAAAAACTGAAACGGTGAAATTTTAGTTTCAACCTCCCAAAACCAATTTCACCTTATAGCTTGCGCCGCTCTACCCGTCCGTTGTCCGTTCGCGGGGACGTTGTAACTCACCGAAGGGCGGATTGAAACATCGAACCGCGGACAAGATTGCGGATATAGTATCAGTGCGAGAACTGATTTTCCACTGTGCCCCATGTCCCAACGTGCCCCACCTTCCCTTACTGTTAGCACAAAATGCACAATCGAGTTTATTTTAGCACAAAAAACAAACAGTTTCGTCGGAAGCACGCGCCACGAGTGTACAAGTGTATCACAGAAAACGTTACGTACTGGTAGAGAATTTTAGCCTATTTTGTGTCCGAGCGGATGCGTTAAGGCCCATTATTACGTCACTCTTTTGCATCTTGCTGATTGGCCAATGTTACGAAATAAACAAGAAAGACGATGCTCGTGAAAATCTCTCTTGGAAATAAATTTAGCCATTTTTGCGTGTTATTGCGGATCGGATACAATGACGCCGCGGGCCGGATAAAATGACGCCGCGGGCCGTAGTTTGGTGACCCCTGGTCCAGATGAACAAATTTTCGGGCTTTGTCACAACTTCTACTCCATGGCGGTATTCTGTAATTTGTGGAATGTTTCCTACTACTCCAACTGTCAATCTGTAGACCGATCTATAGTTTTGCTTCCCATTCTGCCATTTGTTTCCATCGCTGATGGTTTGGTAAATGAATTCCGGTTGCTAGTCTGAGGGTAGTTGAATTATTTTGAAATCTAAGATATTGCAGTACAGACATTCTAGCATTTTATAAAGCAATTATGCCGTTGCAATTATGATTCACAACGTTGTCGGTGACAGGTATCGAGAGTGTTTTGGTTGACGCTTGAAACTGTTCATGTTACATGTAGCAGATGAACAAATTTTCGGGCTTTGTCACAACTTCTACTCCATGGCGGTATTCTGTAATTTGTGGAATGTTTCCTACTACTCCAACTGTCAATCTGTAGACCGATCTATAGTTTTGCTTCCCATTCTGCCATTTGTTTCCATCGCTGATGGTTTGGTAAATGAATTCCGGTTGCTAGTCTGAGGGTAGTTGAATTATTTTGAAATCTAAGATATTGCAGTACAGACATTCTAGCATTTTATAAAGCAATTATGCCGTTGCAATTATGATTCACAACGTTGTCGGTGACAGGTATCGAGAGTGTTTTGGTTGACGCTTGAAACTGTTCATGTTACATGTAGGGCTGGGCATTTCGAATCGATGCAGACGAAAATTTCGAATCGACGCCATTTTGCTGTTTTTGTCCACCAAAGGTCGATGTGTATTCCTCAAATTTTTTTGAAGCCATATCTTTACAATGCAATTTCAACATATATATGACTCCTTTCTCCTCAACGGCCTATTCGATGAAACCTGTTTGTTATTGCGTGTGAACGCTCAGCGAATTGTCGAGTATTGGATTCTATGATTTCGGGAATTGATGTGTCTGGAGGACATATTACAATAAAAAAGTCGCATACAATTACAACCTTCCAAGTATTCGAGATTCGATTCGAAAAAAATATTCGATTAGATTCTTAAATCCTCAGGTATTCGAAAATGCCCAGCCCTAGTTACACGTTCAAATCGAATCATTTGTATTTATAAAAATATTTTTCCATACCGCTTACAGGCAGTAATAGCTAATTTTAGCCTTAATATTCTCAAATAATACAGAAGTAATTTATTGCACTATGATTGTGGTTTAGCAAATATATATTGTAAGATATAGAAGTGTTCGGATAATCCTCCCACCCATATGTGAACAGAATTGTCATTATAGAATTTGAATTTTGCGAAAGTGACGTTCGCCATTCTTCTGCTCGTATTTCTATTGCATCTGCATTATTTGGAGCTGAGTAAAAACTCCCTAGAGTCATCGTTGCATATAGAGCGTAGAAACAGGAAGTAAAGGAATACCTCACTAATAAATCTTTAGTGTTGCATTCCCCAAATATTGACAAAAGCGACAATACTGTCATAAAGTCGAAATGATTATACTCTTCAAAACTCGAAGGAACTTTTTATATAATACCTTCATATCTGGTCTCGTGTTTTAAAATTTACCAAACGAAAACTTGGTCTCATGAGGACATTTGATGTCGAGTTCCTATTTTACCGCAACAGACTGATTGCAAACTAAGCATGTTAGTTTATTGGAGTATATTGCGAAAAGGCACTTTTCCTTTCATATACAATTGAAATTTCGTCAATCGACATCAACTTTCGAAGTTTTGCGCCATATCTTTGTTTCTGTGACGAGATGATTGACAATAGACGATTGTTGTATATGGCATAATGCGAAAAATATTTATCAAACAGTGGTGCACCCTGCAGTTTGAAACTCTTGTTTTAACTAACCATAGGTGACGCTGTTCGATAACCATTATCGGTTTATCGCGTCTCCTTCACACTGAAATGCATTTTTTTTATCATTCTTTATTCTGTATTTACAATGTGTATTTTCGGCATGCGTAAAAATAAACTACCGAAGTCGCGGTCCGGGTTGCATGTTACGGTTCATGACATGGAGGTAGCCATTTTAGTCACTTGACGCAGAGCATTTCTTCCTCGTTTTTAATGGGTTAGTCTACTGTTCTATGGTTTACCTACAATTTCTGTCCTAACTGTCTTATGATTTGATGATACAATATACAAGATTAGGTCCTTAAATTGCGAACTTCCTTACCTAATCACAAAAACAATTATTGTGCAAATAAAACGACAGCTCGAACATTGTTATAATTATAACATTTATTCACAAGGAGCTACAAGACTGGAATCCCAGTCAGTCAACAAGGAACATCAGAAAGAAAAAATATTAAAATTCAAACCGGTACATCTTTTAGCAAAAAGATAAGAAGCAAGGAGAGAGAAAAAAATCATTCACACAATCAAGCAAAATTTTTCACACGAATCATTGATCATATTTAAAAATCCAGAAATTCCTATAACTGGCAACCCTAGTGGCACTTTCTCCAAAGAAAGAAAATAAAAATTGACATCATAAAAGAAAAAATAAACAAAAATTAGTTGAAAACAACTAGAACATTAAAATATTTCAATTAATAATCATGCGTAATTTTACAGCACATTGCAACATTTTTCAGAAAAGATTGTGAATCTCGAAATCCTTTGGATCATTAATATGCTGAATATATATAGCATCAGGATACCAATACACAGCAAAAAGCAATTTAATTATCAAAGTATACATAAGTATATAACATTACAATAAGCTTAGCTTATATCATAAGAGCATGTTCGAGAAGTAGCAGAAAATATAGTGATATTTATTCAATATGGCAAAAGGCACAAAGGAGTTAATTGCTGAATGGACTAGTTTAAGATTTACGCTTTCCCAATTTGACTATATTACTAGGCTTGCCATATACCGGTATATGAAACAGAAAACTGGGACAGTCCTGATTGAAAAAAACCTCATTTCAATTCCAAGGCTTCGTAATATTCAACTCAAATGAATATCAGTGATTTTCATACCACTGCCAAAGGTGTAATTTCTTTTCGGCATTTCGAATAATTCAATGACAGTACATCTAACGTTAGACGTTAAATTGACATGTTAAAATATATTAATTATACCCTATCAATATAGTGGTTTTTCTATCTTTTACTGAACTCGTGAATCAGGGAAAATGGCTGCCTTCTTTAAAAAAAATATTTATTAATAGTAAATAAAATAATATTTATAATTGCCATACTGCCTGACCATTTCAATTTCAGTTTACTGGATGGGACAGCTTGTCAAAAATTGGAACTGTCCCAGCCAAACGAGGACGTATGGTAAGTCTATATATTAAAAAATTTTGATGTTTCAAAATGCTCATATCAGTTTATTAAGGTTAGTTGCAATAAAATGATAGCTAAGCATTATAGTTTTTGACTATGGCCATGCTCAACAAAGATATGCAAGAACAATGCTTAAAGGGGTAAATTTAACATCAGATAATATTGAATTGCCAAATTATAATATTTCCTAATCTAATAAAATTCATGCAGCCTGTTTAAGGTGAAGAAATTTCTAGAAATCAATCTGAAAGGGTGTTGCATGAATATTATCAATTAATAAACAAATCATTCCAAATCGCATTAAACATGGAGAATTGGCCAGAAAATAAAAAGTATAACCGGTTGCATTTATGACAATACGAAGTACAACAAAGGGGCAAAGCTGGCACCCCTGTGTTAGTCTGCAATTTTGAATCTGATCGGTTGTGGCTTTGCAACCAGGGGGGGGGGGGGGGCATGGGGGCGAAGACAATTTTTTGATGGGGCGTTAAGATAACAAAAAATAACAATATTTGTTAAATTTGATCTTGTCTGCCTCATTTTGGATATTCACATTTCACGATTGTTTGCATGAGGGGTGATCTAAAAAGTTTGAGAATCACTGTTCTAGACACTTTATTAGGTATAATAATGGAACTTAATATTATTAATATATGGCTCATCAAGCAATTTATGGATATTGCGAACAGACAACTACTAATTATTAGCAATCTAAAATATATTGTTACACATCAAAAGCTGAATTATAGTAAGTATACATATAATCGGTAAAAATCGGTAAAAATCGCCTCTAAAAACATGAAATATTTTCATGCAGCTTAATGGGATGCATCTAAAAACTGAAAAAATATTCAGATATCCTCCAAAATATATACTCTATTTATTCAAAACTGGCTACAAAGTATGGATGGATATTATTGAAAAGAAAAGTCAATCAAAATCCTAAAAAAAAAAATTTCTAACTGCATAAGTTTTACAGAATCAGACCACTACTCACTCAGATGACCCACTTTTCTGTTGAAACCATTTATAACTGTACTATTGCTGTCATTTTGTAAAAAATTCCAGATATTATTGGTGAAATAATACAGATAAAATTGCATTATTGGCGTCAATATCTGGAAGAGGTTGAATTTAAAAATGAAACGAAGAATGTACAATTACCATCATATATGTACGAGGCATTTTGAAATATGTCACACAAAAGATAAAGCTTGTTCGCATAAAGCATTACTTTGAAAAATTCCAGCAACAAATAAATAATTTTATTATGAAGGCACCCAAGAGCTCTATGTAAGCGAATTAAACACACCGCAGTTCCAAAATGCAGGAATTCGCCTTCACTTAAGATTTGGTTACTAGTTTGCAAAAGGATCCATATAATAACAATTGTTTTGAAGACGAAACCTTGCTTCTGATGTTCGAGAGCTGCTAATATGTTCAATCCCTAAATTTTTTAATTCCCTTCACTAGTCAATTTGTGATTGTTTTAGTATGTGAATGAATTGTTTACATTAAAAAAAAAACGAGATTTTATATTATTAAACGATTCAATTTATAAGAAACAAAATAAAAAGAGTTGTGTGAAATTCACTTTTATTGCAGTGTAAAATATGTCCTATATCCAACTTTTTATCAAAGTTAACTATGGCATAATATATATCAATGTTCTGCCAGCCAATGGATCAATTAAAATCATTTAAAATGAATCGTGACAAGAGTTTTAGACTAGTGCTCTTTACTCTTCTAAATCCAAACCAGAAACCCCTGAAATTGAACTTAAAAAATAATAACAGCAAGAAGCACTCATCTTCGGAAAGAGCTCTAAGAGCCAAGGAACTCAAGGGAAAAGCGCTACTTAAAGGATTTACTGTTGATAAATAACATTACTTTTGTAATAACGAGCATACTGTAACATTGAATATATGCATCACAAAAATTCTGAAATCCTGTCTTCATTTTTTTGGTTCACATAGAACATATCTATTTTGGAATCAAATTGAAGTCATATACTTCATTTTTAACATATTTGTGTTTTCTGGATTGTTCGTTAGAAAATATAATTCGTTTCTTTTCCATATGTATCAATAAGAACAACTCAAATATTCGAATATTTTTCGATATGATGAATTCTTAATTTTAGGAATAAATTATAATATTTTTTTAGTCGTTTTGGGAATTTGATATTTATTTGTTGGTCAGACAAAAATAGATTGATTTCACATAAGAATTAGAAAATCCTTATTAAAAACAACACCTATTTCAACTATTCTTCATTACAAAATTTATTCCCTATAGTTCACTATGATTTGTGCGAATTTTACTGTTAACAATTACACAATTTAAAATATTTTTGATATTCCACATTCCAAAATATTATTTCATAATGTATTCCGAAAAGAAGAATATTCAACATTGGCTATTCCTGAATTCGCAACAACTATATATTCAAGAAGTTTAATAATCAACTCATTTTGAAAATTTAAAATTGATCCAGTGTGCAGAAAAGTTAGATATAAATCAAACTTTTATTTTGCTGCAAACTTGGAAGAAAAACCTGATAAAGTAATTATTTCAGCATCTCAAATACCAAAAATAAAATATTTCTTTAGAAATTTATCAAGATTTCTATTCCAATGCGAATCGAAGAACTTAATCACTGTAAAATGACAGTAAATCAGTTGCAAATTTATTACAGTGTTTTAACACAAAAAATTTTCTGCTTCGAAATTCCAGAATTGTGACATACGCGTCTAATCAAAAATCGGCGTACAATGGCAGAATATCTTTTTGAACGAAAAAGGAAAATAAGTACTAATGATGATTTGATAATCTTTCATCTTGGCTCTCATAAGTTTCCACAGTGCACCTTGGTGTAGGCCCCACCCTTGGTTGGACGTATTTTTCTTTCTTGAAAAGTCTATATATAATTTCTTCAAATTCAGAAGGCCATTCGTAAACGTGTGTATCGTGACATAATGATGGCAAATCTCTCTAAAAAAATAGGAGCATTTTTGGTTAGCTGAATAATTTATATATAGTTAACTAAATTATAAATTATTACTGACATTAGGACAATTGGATACCCAAGTACTTAGTGCGAGGTTTCTCAAACTGTGATCCTCGAGCTTCTCCAGTGTGTTTCCGGGTACATGGTCAAAATTGGCCGTCATGGCGATCCGGCCGTACCTCGGCGCCTCTGGGTCTTAAATTTGGGCGGTCCAGAAGTATGTGTACCAATATGGGGGTAACTAATTTTGTTCGCCTACTCTAGTTGTGTGAAGAGACTGAAACCTATGGGCAGGGAGTATATTCACTTGGCTAACACAAACAGTCCTCGAACTAGTAATAGAACTAAAATAAGGTAAATCAGAATAAAATTATGGCCCCAACCCTAACCTGGTACACATACTGCGGGAGTACCTAAATTTGTCTCCCAACTGGTGACAAACAGACAGGCCTTGCTATCCAAACAGACGGACAGGCCTCGTGCCAGTCTGAAAAGCATGACATTTTCGTCAACCGTTCAATATCGTTAACCGTCAGCCTAATTTTTATAATCGTCAAGTTTACAGTCAACTTTTTAATTTTACCATGGGCTAAATTTTTTTGGAAACCATCTTTCTCAGTGTATTGTTGGCTTAAGACTGGAAGATTCGAAATATGTCACGCATCCACAAAGTTAATCTATTGCACAATATTCTTAGCATCCATTTTAGCTTCTAATTTCAAGGTATTCCGTAGGGCAAGATAAAAAGCGCAGGACGTGTTCCGGGGCAAAAAATATTTAAGAAATGCTGTCTTAGTGTATCAATGGTCATATGTAATTTTCCTATCTCTCTAATATATTTGATTTGAGTAGAAGCTTGATGCTTTGCTTCGAAAATCTTACATAAAAATCAGTGTCGTCACCCAATGACTATAGCTCAAATCTTTCATTGAAAAACATTACTTCCATGGGGGATATCAGATGGTCATATAACATGAGTATGTTACTCTTGATCCCAGATTTCCTATTAATATTGTATTCAGAATCGCTTCAAAGGGGATGAAACTGTCTTATTGACATAGTTTAAACACGATTCAAAATTCAAATTTCAATATTCATTAATTTTTTCATTATTCATTAAGTACATTCCAGAAAGCAAATAAACATATTATATTAAAATTACAATCTTATTTAATAGTTTTATTGGACACGTTTAGTGGACATAACGATCGTTTTGTTGTTATGTTGTTCTTGTTCTTGTTGTTCCTTGACACTTTTTGGCATCTAGTGGAAAATCTAAAAAATCGCTTTTCTCTTTGATTACTGGACCAATTGCTTTGAAATTTTTAGTGGTTGAAGATGAAATTTTTCTCCATAAGGCTATTACTTTTATTTATTTTAAATATTTCTGTTAGCTCTGTGAGATTTGTTTTTGTTTGCTATGACGTCACTGAACGTTCTGCGGAAATCGGACGCCATTTTGTGTCCAACTGTACTGCTTCGCTTGGTGTGAATATATTTGTAGACTGTGATCTGACGGTACGGTAAACCGTACTGTACTGCGAACAGACGTGTTCATATATTTGGGCGTAGCTCTCTTGTTGGATAGTGTAATTATAACAATTTAGCTTAAACATCAAAATCAGTCATTATGGTTACCAACTAGGTAAAAAGTCCTCCCAAGTGACAATTTTACTACATTTATGTGTAACGTACGCTGGAAAATTAGTACCGGTAGTTCAAATCTTCTCACTGGTACTTGAATGGCAATAATTTTATTTTTTCTAGGGTGCAGATTAACAAGAATTTCATTTCCTAACTAAATTTGAATGTAATGTAAGACCACAATATTTTATATTTCAAAATAGTTTGTACGGTAATGAGCTGATATCAGAGCAACTCTATTTCGTAAAAAGTGTTTTTTTATCAAGCCTTATTAGTTATTAGTGACGCTATATATAACAGAAAAATTAGTAGGAATGGGTGTCCCAAAAATGTCGTGTCCCATGTGTCCCACTTTGCCCTCGAACGCGAGGGACACATGGGACATGACAATTTTCAGACACCGGATTGGAAGCACTAATCTAAATATTTATACAACCTTATTAACAAGTCAATTACTTACCCTTGTGGCCCCGCCGATCAACACAGGAATAAACCTGAAGTTTCGAGATCCATTACCGATATATTCCGTTAATAATCTACTGTAGATATAGCGAGTGTGAAGTGAATGAGGATCAGGAGTTTCTGGCAGACCTGGTTCTACTTCTGATTTATAACTTGGACTTACACAAATGACGATGAAATCACACTGAAATCAAATAAAAATAATTTTTTAATAATATGGCATGAAAAAAGGCTTAACATATTAGATATACCTAAAATTAAATATTTTAGAGAAAAGTAACGTATATCCTCGCATTACAGCCAACCCCCCCAAAAAAGGCCCAAAAATATTGAATTCATAAAAACTCGCATACAGGCCGACCCTAAAAATCGTAACATGCCGTTATTTTTTTTAACTGTACTGACCGACCATCACAATCTGTTATTGCTGTCATAAAACTCAAGTGATCACATGATCAACTTGAAGGGTTGTTAAGTCTGTTCTAACTAGAGTTTAAAAATAGATTGAATAATTAATCAATAGTCAAATAATTCGAAATAAAATTTACCTTTTTAATATTGTCGTCAAGCCATGAACTGACGCTCATTGACATGAGAGTACTTTCCAACATATCGAGTCGAACTTGAATTCCGTTATTAAGTAAAGTTCGCGTAAGTTGAAGAACAAGTTTCCGAAAATTTTTGTCATGTCGCTCTTCAGCATATGTTATAAAAACAGATGTCGCTAAATATAAGAAACGAATAAAATGAAATTCCTTATGTTGGCTTCGTATGATGAGAATCGTGGGTACAAATTCTGTGACAAAAACCATGTCCAGGATGTGACAAGTTGTGTGGGCAGGTCTGTCCCAACAAAACATAGTAGCACTTTTATATCGGTGGCTACTTATAGAGACCTTTGTTCAGATTGAAAGGCGCATAAAATATTGTATGTAAAAAAGGAACTATCTTCTTCACTTTGAAATTTGAAAATGTCATGGACATAAAAATATTTGCTTGATTCAATTGAATGATATAAAAGCAAACAACACTCTATACCCAGTCACAGGTGAACTAATATAGAATTTAATGATTTGTAAATTCATTGTGTTGATCATAATTGATCAGTCAATCAATCTAAAGCCTGCCAATTCAATCAAAAAGCTGTGGTTGTATTAGGAACCTTAGCACATCAAGCATGAACATTATATAAGAATGTAGCATATATCTGAATATGACATTATTTTATTTCTATCATAAAGTGAGTTTTTATGAGAAGTAAAAATGTTTTTGCTCGAAAAATCGTCATTTCGAAAAATAGCTTTTATCAACTTCTGATGGCAGATGATAATCGAGTAACCCAAATTTAATTTTCATTATCTACAGGTCAGGTCGAAGAAAAAAACTGAAAGGTAAAACTCATAAAATGATATATAAGAGTGTTTTCTAACATTTTTGTTCCAAGTCTTGGCGGCTAGCTTCATCTGCACGCTGATTGATATGTCGTACGGCAGCTCCACTCTGACCACTTTGTCCTGACGATGGTCTGTTAAAACCATATGCACCTCCTGGTTGGGATTGCGATCGGACAAAATATGGTTCTGTGGATGCGGTTGCTGGTGGCCTCTAAAATAACATTAAATAATATAAAATGAACTCACAGGCCAACAGTGATTTGTGTTGAATGATTTTTGAGTCCTAAAATTTATCCAAAAAAAAATGTTTCGAACAGTAGATAATGACCTGTACATCTATGTAAAAGCAAAAAATATATAAAAAAAAACAGTTTAAACAACATGCTGTCAAAACTGTCGAATAGATTCGACAAATTCTTTTATATTCACATCGACAGGAAGGTGTTATATTAGACTATAAACTCACGTCCCGTTTATATTGAGTTTTGAATAACCTCCTTTCATATGATTTTGTTTGTGTGTTCTAAAATCTGGGCCAGTAGATATGAAATAGCAAGGGAAAGAGAATAGAACATCAATGTCAAACAACAATACATGCATGCGGCCAGTGTTCGAGCGACAATACTTGGATAAAATTCGAAGATATGAGTTTGTTTGTATTTCAAATGAAATAATTCTTATGAAATAATACTAGTTGCTAACAGTTACGCATCCGCGTATTTACAATTTGATGAGAATTAGTGAACTGCTTTTTGATTCAAATTGGGAACTTCCATATTATTAATCAGTATATAATGACAGATCAATTTTGTAAGAGAGCCCAAGTACTCCAGAATCAACTTTGAAAAGTTGTATTAGGCCAGTGGTTCCCAAACTTTTGAAAAAAAATTCCATGACGAACCCTTGCAATTTTTTTAAGGATTCCCGAACCTTGGGCACCAAACATTAAAAGATCATATAACGAAAATCAATGCACCGTATAGTGAAAAACATTAAAACGAACAAAAGTATATGACGAAGTTTAATGAGATGGGTGCTGCACTTGTTTCGTGGTTAAACAGCATTTAGAAGCGAACTGGCCTATCTTCATAAACTGCCTACTGTAACTCCACCTAGCAGCGTCAGCTATAAATCTGCAGTTAGTTAACTTGTAATGGCAGTAGGCAGCAATTGAACTCTTTCTGTGACATCACAGACACACCGTTCTGTGACATCACAATGGGGACGCGTGAATGGCGTGATCGAAACGGAAAGTAAATATCCAGTCTTAACCAGACTCCAAAAGGGTCGCGGACCCCACTTTGGGAACCACTGTATCAGATCAGGCAATGGGTGTCTACTATTTATCCTAAATTTTACAAGATTAAAACTTGTAAGATATTTACTACAAGAAAATTTGCTTCAAAAAACAGTGATAGGTTCACCAAACTCGCTCAGAAATATAAGAGAATGATCTCTACTGAGCAAAGTTACAAACGACCACTAAAGTGCCAACTGCAGAGGACTACTGAGAATATAAATCATAAATGTAGAATTGTGCATAGCAAACATTAATTGGACCGAGACTTGAAGTAGTTCATGTTAATTTGATCAGGAAAACAGCAATGTGGAAAAGAAATCTACATAACTGGAGTTTTGGGGGAAAAAAATATGGCAAGAAAACAGTCCATTATAATATCTGTAAAATAAGCACAACGGCGCAACATTTAGTTGACGAGAACGAATTTGCAGTTCAGACACTAGTCATATTTGATATCATTTTATTTAGTTTGATCTAGGGCAGGGTGGTCCAAGGTTGACGGCCTCGCGGGCCACACTATTATTTTGGTATTGTTTGCGGGCCATAATAGTGCGAAGAATAGATGAATATTGCAATACAAAACAAACACTTTTATTGTCCAAACACAATTTTCAATATTTGTCATGCCAAAACTACCAAAAACTCTCTAAAACGTGCAAACATTTTACTATATCTACAGTTGATGTAAAATTTCAAACTCTTCATAACGGAGAAAATGTCATTTTGGATTGTCACTGACACAACTTGCAGACATATTAAGCAATCATTGTGGCATTTTTCCTCCGATATCCAGTTAAATAAATATCTGTTTGAATCGGTCAGCTTTCTTTTCTAACTCATGTTTACAAAATAACTGCAGATTGGTTGATTACCGAATTTTACCAAATTTGAGGGGTAATTACTCAATTTTCTGACATATAGGCAGCATTTTTTACTGTTTGAGCTAGTTGTAAAAAACCACTCGACAGGAGTTATAGGCCTATTGTTCGGCCATTACATTAATAAGTAGTTATCAGGCATAGCCAACCTAGGCTAATTAATAGATTCCTCATTCCATTTTAAGTTTTCTATTAAGCCTATTTTGTTAGCATATATTCCAGACCAAAAATTGAGAATCAATTAGCAATTTGCATTAGCCAAACACATTATTCCACTTCGCTAGTTGCCTCAGCTAGCCCTAACACTAGTCAATTCAGTGACATTTATTAGTAATGTAACAATATGTCAAAAGATTTTTCTGGTTATTTATACGACCAAATGCCATTTTTGTTTACCCTCGCGCAAATGTGACGCGGGCCATAGATAATGAAGCGACGGGCCACATCACCAGGGTTTGGACCACCCTGGTCTAGGGTCAACAGGGGTTACAAAAGCAACCATCTTAGATGACAGGTAATAGTGTTCACATAAACTAACACTAGTTCACAAAACGGGGCTATTTTATAGTTTATATACAAAACATAATTATTTGCTTTTCTAATGAATCAGAATTATATTGTGTTTCACCCTATTTTAGCCAAGAGGAGCAAGCCACCATCTCAAATGACAGGCAACAAAGTTTATATAAAAGAATACTAATTCACAAAACGGGGCTATTTTATAGTTTATTTACAAAACAAAATTATTTGCTTAACTAATGGATTAGAATTATTGTATTTCAAACTATTTTAGCCTTATTGAGTAGGAGGTCAAAAAAAAGAACAATCTAAATATATAAATACAATATATCAGATTCAATAAATGTATTGTGTGATGACAAGAGAGTTCATATTGCACCAGTATGCACCAGTATTAAGTAATGATATACCAATTAATGTAAAATAAACATATTATCAGGTTGGCCGGTTGATGCTTACAGAAAACAGTCAATCTATATCAGCGTACACAAAAAACATTGAAGATCTGAATACTGACAATGACGTATCATTAATAGGTATATTTGTTTCACATAATCAAACAGAACATCAATTCGTAAAAGGCAATCCTAAATTTGAATAATGATAATATCTGTTTATTGTGAGTGACTGTATGATAATTATTATCAAAACAATACAGGTTTATCTTACCAAATTTTCAACTACAGAGCAATTGAATTTTTATTTCGAACTGGTGTATCATTTTTGTCATTGTTATGAGTTTAAAATAAATGGAAAAGTTCAAATAAGAGGTTGAAAGATAGACAATTTGATGCTCTGCGTTTGTGTTACGGATGGTGACTTCATAACCAATGAATAACATGACAAAGGGCAGTTACACCCTCTTTCACACCTTATATTATGAAAAATCGCACTATTCAAAATATTCCGATATTTCGAAATTTTAATACAGCTATGAACTTTGTTTTTTCTTTCAAATTTATACAATGAAAATAATATCAATATCACAATTTTTCAGTCAATTACGAAAATTGTAGCGATTCTGTTCAACAAAGTTCACACGATTTCATGCACATTACAATATTCAATGTACAAACAACATAATCAACAGAAACGAAAAATCCCAAGTTTAATGACTTCCTCTGCGAACTGAAATCACCTTTTATTAACAATTATTATCACTAATCAGATCAAAATAATGGTGCTTGATAACATATCCAAGTATGGGCTTTTAAAAAAATATAATTTCAAAAGGTGTGGTTTATACATGGCCACACTATAAAACGGCACTTGACTTTGGGAATGTTAGGAATTCAATTGCCCATTGGTGTGGGTTGGCATTCAAGTAAATTTTAATAAAACCTTAATTGTAACCTATGTGACAAACATTACGATGTGAGCTTGATAAAACAAATTAAAAGTGTTTTTATACAGAGATCACGAAAAGTTTTAGGATTTAATAATAAATTTCTCATTTATAAAGTTTTTTTTGTTATATTCAGTTGTTAGAAAATACAATGTTTTGGCAAGACTAAATAAAATCAAGGACGTTTTTAATAATTTGATTGTTGGTTGAAAATATTTAAATTTACAAACCCTTTCTAATAGTAAATAAAACCTCAATATGCTTCAACATGAAAGCTATGATGGATATGGTAGATGGATGGCGAATAATGAATAACCAAAACAAACAATTGATTATTCCGATTATATTCTACATTCTAAAACTATCATTTTCAGATATAAAAATCTACATTTGGCCATAATATTCAACAAGACAACATCGCAATTTATATGATATGAGTATGTTTTGAGAAAGCTACAGAAAAATAGTGATTTCATTGGTGTTCGAATTTTTAGTTTTCAGAAAGTAATGGAAGGCATTTTAATTATATTGTAATACTTTATTTTCTTAGGATGACAATTTCTCGAATAGGCCCCCTATAGCTATTCTAAATTGAATCTCAGAATGAAAAATTTTAAATATCGAATTTAACGATTTATTTTGGATCCGACTTCATCTCAGCCTAACAGAATAGGCTATACAAGTTAAAACGACAGCGAAAAAATCTTTATTTAAAACACTGTTACGAGAGTAAATTTCGTATTACACACAATTCGTGAATAAACTAATAATCTTAGATTGCATTTGCAACCCTCCACAAAAATTTGAATACCAAGATTTGAAACTTTCGGCATAATCAAATTATGGAATCTTCATTGCTGTAGGCATCAAAAATTTAAATTATTACCAAATCGTGAAGTTCGTCAAGATGTTGAAGCCTGAGGGTGTTTAAGATAAACCCAGATAACTAAATTTTTCCCAGAAGATGATAAATCATGAAATAAGTAATTGGAAAAGTCACGTACAAGATATCTCAGAAGTTCAAATTTTAATTAGCTTTATTAATTGTGTTAGGCTATTGTTTATTTTTGGAAATGCATAATAATTTGAATTACTGTATATGCTCGTTTTACCGCCCGATCTTGATTAAGGGCCTGTTTGAATAGCCGCCCGTGTGAACAGAACATAAAAATAAATAAGGGCCGGTGCTTGAATACCCGCCCGATGTAAAAGCTGATTTTTCAGTGGTAGAGAACAATAGGAAATAAAAAGCGCTTTTGTCACTCACAACGCTGTTGAATTTTAAGCGCCGGTAGATAACACCGCGCCTTAGGCATCCAAGTACATAACAGATAGCATTGATTACATAACACCATGGTTCTCAAACTGGGCGTCGCGACGCCCAACAGCGTCGTTTCAATATTGATAGTGCGTCGTAAAAATTTTCTTCTTCTGCGGATCTGTACCTGCGGTGCGTAGAAAGTCAAAATTTTCGTTATCCTCGTTTAAATCATACTTGAGAACTGGAAATAACAATATATTAATTATTGTAACGATCGAAAATAACAAGCACCCGTGCTTGAATAAGGGCCGGTTTGAATAGGGGCCCGGTTAGTGAGTTGGTTGAAAAAAATATGGGCCCGGGCTACAAAACGAGCAAATACGGTATATCATAAATCTACACAATGTCAATATTTTACTTATGGATTGAAGGTTTATTAATTTTGATAGAGAACAATAATTGAAGCGATTAAAATTATTCAAACCACAGAGAATTCTGGGATACTACAAATGAAGGGATTAAAAATAAGATTACCGTTGACGTCGACTGTTGAGGTTCCCTCGGTGGACGAGCAGCAGTTTGTTGTTCTGACCTTCGGTGACGATCATCAGCTTGTCGTTGTTGTTGAGCTCGATGCTGATATGCAGCATCACTTGGATATACGGTGTGAAAACTCAGACTGAAATAGAGAAGGATTTATTACCATGTTGAATCATCTTATCTTTATAAATATTCAAATGAAGATCCCCACAATTGGACATTTAGGCATTTTTGTAGAGTTGGTACTTACAAAAAATTGAATTTGGAAATGGCAAAAATGAAAAATTTGCTATTCTGATTTTAGAACAATATTTTCAAATATGTTGAGAATTTATAAAATGAGTCATAGAAAGCAATTCATATTCAATAAGTTTGTAACTAAAAAAAAAACGGGAAAGTTAATATACCAATGATCTGAATGGGTATCTATTGCCCAAACTTTCAGAAAATGAGGCCTTATTATTGGTCAGAAACTTCAATTGCTCAGAATGATAACTTACTAAATCAAACTACTTAAAATAATTCCATAAACCAAAATTTTTAATATTGAATACGATTAATTTTGAATATTCAAATTCATTCGGGCATCCCAAAATTGGTATGTTTATATTTCAAAAGTAATATTCTAAACAAAAAGTGCATTATCATCAAAATTTACTAAATTGAATATCCTAAATTCATCCTAAAATTTAATTGCAAATGACTGTATTCTTGACTATGGCTTTTCGCTGCCAACTCATAATACATTCGTGTGAGCTTACTTTGAGCAAATATTCATATGAAAAATAAACAGGACAGAGGAAAGTCCCTACCAACTTCTACAAAATTTCTACTGTTTTTGACAAAACATTTTCACACATTCTCTCCAACAAGACTTCTGTAAATGCAGCTATGGATATTTAGTTTAGACAGTAGGGATATTCCAAGTGTACGGGACAATTCCAGAAATTTTGCATATTGTTAAATGCAATATATTTTTACATTGCCAGCTACATGTTTTGTATCATTGTCCATTCAATTGCTTTATGGCGTTTAAACAAAATTGCACAAAAGTTACACACAAGACCTACTGGGTGAATATAAAATATATAGTAAAATATAGTGTGACTCTACAAGACAGCAAATCCACCATGCATGAACATCTCATTGTGTTGTAAATTGTCGCAATGGTACAGCAGGAGCCCATACTATTTTCTGATACAGTAATCGGAAGACCCCTCTATGTGCCACTCAAGTTACTCAATGTAACACTGTAGATCCATGGCGACAATGTGCACATTGTACGTGATACTATGGGTTGTGCTACTACCAGACATTTTTCCACCTCAGAACCACTCAAGTTACTCAATGTAACACTGTAGATCCATGGCGACAATGTGCACATTGTACGTGATACTATGGGTTGTGCTACTACCAGACATTTTTCCACCTCAGAACAGCGGCCTCTATCATCTCTTAAAATTCTGGTAATAAATCGTTATGTAGACATGTCCTACAGCTACAGCACTGCAAACACTTAAGCTTTATTAACTTACGTCCAGTGCATCTATTTGAAATGGAATAACTGTACCAGACAATCAAACAATTCGTGTTACGAGTCATCACAAAACATGTCGACTACGGTATATCAAAATTTCTACATTTCAGGCCACTTTGTGTAAACCATCAAAAACCTGGGTGAAATTTTACCTTTTTGGTGAAATGAATGCAGTTCAATAAAATTGAAGTGTCTTTCGATATAAAAAATACAAAACAATTAATTTCACTACAATTTCACAAAAATTGATGAAATTCAACAGTTGCTTGGAATGGCCCAGTAGATACTATTAGTTGAATGAGTGGAATCTTTCGGGTTCGACATTACCCATCAAATTCATGCACAATGGGTAAGGTGGTGGGCACGGGGCGCTAACAACCAGGCAAGGTTTCTCCCTGGGACCACAGAGCTTTTTTCTATACGCTATTAGCAATTGGTACATTTGCGTCGAATACATTATTAAGTACAAAGAAAGTGGTGAATAAATTATTCTTAGGCCATGAGGCAATTATTCTCTACTTTTATTTGTTGGAACATGACGTGTCATGTAAATCCAATAATTCGGATATGCTGATATCAAATATAAATCAAAGAATAATGAAGGAACAAGGTTAAAGTTGAGTCACTGTCATTTTGAATAACATTAGAGAAACAATAGTATTCAGCTGTCTAATAGTTGCAAACTTGCAATGCACAAATAAATGCAGCCGATTTTGTAGCTTTTCAAAAATCAGCGCCACACAAGTATCATTGTGAATATTGTACACAAATTCAATAGAATATGTTCTCTTTTGTATGTGAATAGCTAACCAAGCTACCTATATTAACAATAATATACAAAATCGAAATCGAAATAAAAATAGCCTGCATTTGCAGTTCAAATTCAATAGTAAAGGTATTGCATAAATAGAGATGGACAATAGGTAATAAACTTGAACTATCAGTTTTTTAAAAACAAATTTTAGGATAATGCTACTGAAAGCGGAAGTATACAAAAAGAAAGCAACCGTTAACAAATTAGGGTCACATGGACTTGAAGCAAATCTATTGCAAATCTAATTCATTGCAAACTTGACTATGACTATGACTATGAATTTTCAAATGAAAACACCCTAAATTATTCCTGAAATCAAGGATCTATATCATATTAAATCAATTTCAAATATTACTTCGTTTTGGACATTCGTGAGACTAATTATATGATACTATATGGTAATATAACTTACGAGAATAAAATTTTGCCAACGGTCTGAGATGACTCACATCATTTTCAATAACGCAACGGAATTAAATCGAACGTCTACATCATCGTCACCGTGATATCATTAAAAAAAGCGCACCAACATAGTTATTATTAAAATAAGCTGCTAAATTTCACCTCAATTTATTCTAAAAATAAATTTTTAATTAACGAACACGTAAGAAAACAATAACACGTCAGACGTCACGTAAACTATTTCTCTAGCATCACAGAAGAGCCCGTATATAATGAGACTTGAGATACGAATGAGTTAAAAAGCTCACTTTAAGGGAAAAATTTAAATAAAATTTCAGAGCTTCTGGAGTTACGGTACATCTATTCTTGCTAGAAATAAATTGTGAATTAACTGACACGTAAAAAAACAATAACACGTCAGACGTCACATATAAGCTATTTCACTAGCAGTACGGGAGAGCCCATATATATCATGAGACTTGAAACACTATTTTGGTTTGAGTTTCTTTCATTTTTGAGTGAGTTAATAATCTCACTTTGAGAAAAAATTGAAATTTAAAAATAAATTGTTAATTACGATAACTGACGCGTGAGGAATCAATAACATGTGAGACGTCACATAAACTATGTCCTTAGCATTACAACGGGGTTATGAATAATGAGACTTGATATACTATTTTGGTTGCATTTCTTTTATTTTTGAGCAAGTTGATAACCTCACTTCGAGAAAAAATTGAAATAAAATTTCAGAGCTTCTGAAGTTCTCTATTCTTCCTAAAAATAAATAAACAATAACACGTCACATGACTCACATTAACTAGGTACTTTTCTAGCATTACAGAAGAACACGTATAAAACCAGATTTGAGATACTATTTCGGTTAAATTTCTTTTATTTCTGAATGAGTTGATTACCTCACTTTGAGGTAACATTTTGAGGGGCAAGTCTTTATATAAACCACGGTACATAAAACATAAACTACGGTACTTCTCTAGCATTACAAAAGAACACATATGAAACGAGACTTGAGATTCTATTTTGGTTGAGTTTCTTTTATTTCTGAGTGAGTTAATCACTTCACTTTGAGGTAACATTTTGAGGGGGAAGGCTTATCTTTGATAGAGAAAAACCACTATGAACATATATTATATAAAAAAAAGTTTATAATCGAGCATTTATCAAAGCTGACCATTCTCGGTCCACATTCATTTACATCTTAAAGATAAACAAATTTGATTTGAGGATACTATAACTTGGTTAAAGAGAATATTACTCGAAGTAATTAAAAAAAGGAAAATGTCTATTCCCTATACATCAACGCTGTAATTATATCTTAATTATAGACTTTTTCCATCAAATTAATCTTTAATTGTTTGAATTATTTAATAATTGGCAAGATCATTCACCAGGTTCTATTTATATACCGCACACAAAGTTAGAAAATGATTCCGCTCAAAAAGATTATAACTAATTACTATTTTGTGACTGTACATCTACAATTAAAGCATACAAGTTTTTATTATTTGAAACGTGAAGACTAATTATAACAAAACGAAGTGACACATACACCAGTTGAATTTGTTTAAGGTAAATAAATGTCTAAATTAAATAAATAGGCTATCACATACAATTATTAAAAGACGTGACAAAGTCAAACCAAATAAAGTAATGCTATCAGTTTTGTATTTTAGTTATGAACTCTTTCAATACATGACAATTTAGTCTCAATGCCCTACCAATTTGCAGCAATACAGCGATTGTTGAGTCATTGCCAGCATACTGATGTAACATATAAACAAATCATAAGTGCACGCCCATTATAACATTCACACGTACTAACACATTTATACTTATTCGAACGAAGGATATCCGTATTCATGAGCGGAAACATGTATAATTGCTAAACTTTAGCATAGTTTTTTATTATTCTAAAAATAATTGCATCTCAAAATCACCAAAATCTGATATTTATTGACATACGATTGTCGACTGTTGGCGAACGAAACAAAAGGAAGAAATGACGCAGCAATAAAATGAAAGTAGTAGTAGTAAATTTTCAAAAAGTGTCTTTTGGAAGACACCTCCATCATTATAAAATGAAATATTCTAATATAAAAAAAATGGTCAATTACTTTAAAAGAAAAAGTGATTTTTGTCCCAACAACACTAAATACAATTTAACAAAATGATCTAAAGGTACACTGCTTTTTTATATAGTCACTTGCCTGCTGTCCAAGCTGCTCTGAGAACCATTGCTATTTTGACGAGAAACATGCAGACGAATCAATTTCAGGTGGACTTTGTATTCCAACCATGGACCTTTGCAAACCAGTGTCATCATCTGATGAAGGTCCATCATCAGTGAAACCACTAAACATAAAGTGGCAAAAATTGTAAGATTACACCAAGCTTGAATGAATGGTATTCGATTGATAGCTTAGATCGGGGTGGTCCAAACCCAGGCCCATGAGTCACATGTGGCCCACAGCTTCATTATCTGTGGCCTGTTCCGCATTGATGAAGGGTACGGTAATCAAAAAGTGCATTTTGTGTTGTTAAATCATAAAAACCAGAAAAATCTTGTGACATTTTGTTAAATCACTAATGTCACTCATGTCTAATGAATTGAATAGTGTTATGGCTAGCTGAGGCAACTAGCAAAGTTGAATGATGTGCTTGGCTAGTCTAAAATGTTAACTGGCTTTCTATCTTTTTGGTAAGAATATAATTCCTGCCAGGTGTTTTTTTGCAACCAGCCTAAACAGTATTACAAAATGTGTACCTCACATTTGGTAATCAATCAATCTGCAGTTATTTGTGTGTTATTTCATGAACATGTGTTTGAAAAAAAAGCTGACGTCTTCAAGCAGATTTTTAACTGGATGTGGGAGGGGAAATACCACAATGCTTGCTTGATATGTCAGCAAGTTGTGCCTGTGACAAAATAATATCATCTAAAACGGCAATTCCAAAGTTAAGCGATTTGGCTTTAATAAGAATCGTATCGATGTTCGAAAGCACTTACATTTGCGGAGCCCTTAAAATCGTACACTAAATGTGGATATTGAAAGACCTTTGCACGTTTCAGCTTCATAATTGACAAATATGTTAATGTGTTTGCAACTTGTTTTGCCCCTGGTCACCTATTCTTGGTACTATTGTGGCCCGCGAGCAATGCAAAAATAATCTTGTGGCCTCTAAGCTGACAACCTTAGACCACCCTGGCTTAAATTGTTCAAGAAATTTAGTTGAAAAACTTTTGAGAGTTTTTTTTTATATCTTTAGAATCTGCCATTTTTAAAGAGCAATCATGATTTTTGTGAAATTTAACAAAATTTGGCAGAATTTTATGACATAATTTAGCCGCGAAATAGAATCACTCTGAAAATCAAAATTAATCACAAAACAAAACGATACAATACTGGACATACCAGTGAGGCAAAATATTAGATTCAAATATTTTAACAAGATCAAAAAAGAAAACTTTTTATGCTAATGAAGTCCAAATAGCAAAAACAAAAAAAAAAATAAAATTAAAACTCTAACCACATGATAGAAACATCACTATAGTATGCTATATTATTGTTACCAACTATAATTTGGGCACTCCAGAAGTATGCGTACCAATATGGAGGTAACTGATTTTGTTCGCCTATTTTACATCAAGTTGTGTAAAGGGACTGAAACCTATAGGCAGGGGGTATATTCATCACTTGGCTAACACAGTCACCGAACTAATGGAACTAAAATAAGGAAAATTGGCATACAATTATGGCCTAACCCGAACCTCGGTAATTTGTACATCACCCTGGGTGCAAGTCATTGAGTAGGCAATGCTGAACAAGAAAGATTACTTTGTTTTGAAAATACTTGCTTTTTACATATCAGCGAATGCTTGTAGTAAGACTTGTTCAAAGCATATGTGGAAAAGTAAAAACTTGATACAAAAAGTTATCTACCTTCGCCTGGAGATAGAATCATCCGGTATGCTACTAGAAGTTCTGTACCTATTTCCATATTCACTTTCCGGCATACTAATATCACTACGCATAGTGTCTGTATATTGATCTATAACAAATGATTCCTGATCTGTCAAATCGTCCTGAATTGCGATGGAATTATTTCGCCACTCTTGCACTTTTTCTTGGCTTTGTTGCATTGCAGTCATTTGGTGATTGTGGACAGGATTTCCAGAAGCAGCTATTCCAGTTTGATGTTCAGATGGTGTACGCATTGATAGGTTTTCCATTTCTTTAGCCATATTATAATTAGGATAATTAGGACTTCCATTGTAAACTCCATTACCCATAATATGATTATGGGGTCTATCGTTTGGATGTTCAGTTGGCTGACGATTTCCAGTTCTTCCCGAATCCATCATATTCAATGACCCCTGAAATATGAATTCCGCGATAAAATACACTGGAAATGCTGCACGGAATAGACTAGTTAAAAACAAAGAATTGGTAAATATAGTCAAATTCAATTCTAAACTATTGAATGAATGGGAAAAAATATTTTCGAATTCGCACACCCTATGTATAACACAACAAATGTGAGATAAAAATTGTTTAAATCCAATTTCTATTTTGTATGAAGGGTTATCATAAATTAAAGAAAGCCAACTTCAGCCTGGTTTTCAGATTTTAATTGCCTTTTATCGTAGATAGACAACTACCACAGGGGTGTGCAACGCTTTTTTTCTCTTTACATAAACTGTCGGAATATCGGATTAAAATTTTACGCTTGATGAGTGAAAATCTGAGTGTTGACAAGGCCTACACTAAATGGCTTGACGGGCCAAGCGCCCATTACACGCTACTGTTCTAAACTATTTCTAAAATGAAAAATTATACCATGAGTGCATACATGTGAATAGCCTATGTAGCCGATGGTATACACTGAAATACAATAGCCCAGAGCTGGTTTTACTACTAGTGGGAATTTTCATGTTTTAGGCTAGAAAATCCCATAATCCTTATTGTGGTAGCAACTAGCAAGACTAATATTTACTATTAGTATTCTGATATTTAGTATTTACAAAATTACAAGCCGCTTAAAGATAGGCGCACAGACGAAATGCTCAAATATAAGGACACGGATCTCCTACATCAGCACCAGTAAGGCCTTAGCTCAGTAACCTAGCTTGGTATAAAGATTGGAAGGCAATTGTGACATAATAAAATGTTCTTATACTCCATAAAAATGTTAACATGAATAAAAATAAAACAGCAAACGACGGAAGCAAATATTGAGATTTGAGATTGCTATACTGTGAAATACTGATTAAAATACAATTCCAGAATAAAGAAAATTTTTCTCCAAGGTCTCATACCTGCGAAGCAGAAGGTCGCAAATTCAAATTTCCTTCACTACAAACAGGTCTCATCTAAAAATTAAAATTTAGCAAATATTTAAAAATGATCAATTTTCACATTACCAAATTCATTGAATAAAATATGAAGATTGTTATAATGTTGTACAAAATAAAATAAAAAACATGAAAGAAACAAAACATTCCAGACCCAGTAATGTGGAAGATAAGACAAGTTAATAAAATCACATCGCATAATGTATAATTAATACACCGGCAGTGTTCACTATTAGCGCACTTTTTTGCGAAAATTGCGAAGCACTTTCGCAACTTTTTTTAGGGACCGCGAAATAGCACTTTTTTCCGATTCTGAAGAGAAATAGCACTTTTTTTCGATTTTGAATGGAATAAAAATTCAAAGTTGACAAATGTTTTTGTGTGCGTATTAAGTTGACAATTAAGTAACATACTAGTACTTTTGTAACTCAATTCTGCATATCATAACGATATTTACCGGAATTCTAACCTATGTGGTGAAGACATGGAAGATAAAGCTTTTGCATTAATGGCAAAATTCTTGTTTATAATATGATTATTATACAAGCACACCGATTCCGCTTCGACCGCGAAAACGCTCGGCGGCGTCTTTGAAACCAGATGTCCGAATGCAAGGCAGTGCGTTTCTCTAAACAGAGAGTGGTCATGTGACTGTCAATGACATCGATGAATTGTGACCAAATTACACGATTTTCTAGTACTGGTTTGACAGCTCTGTGTTCTCTTCTTAGTGAATTTACTGGAGCCATTCAGAAATTTCTGATACTCGACACGACATTGTTTAGTAATGGAATGTAAACTTGGGCCATTGTTTGGTAAATTAGAAGAAACTTTTAGCAGCATCCCACAGATTTGCAAAATCGCCAAATTGACAAAATACATACGTCGTATTAACATTTAACATCCATTTTATTGTAACCACGAATGTTAAAAGCAAATGGCGTTTCGCGGAATTTTGCGATATTCAGTATTAGCTAGTCTAGTCATTCACGATAAATCAAACTCAGACCAGGGTCAAAAATCAATCTAAACTATTTCCTCATTAATATGCGAGTAGGGGTGGGCAAAATCGAATATTTTTTCGAATTGAATATTTTTAACGAATGAGGAATATTTTTTATGCACAGCAGGAGTCTGGAACGTCGGTCGAACGAACGTCTACTGGTTAATTTCGTTATAATATCTAATTGTTTTTGTCACCGCAATCGTTTTGGCGACTATATCCTGGGTTTGGCAATCCAGGCTTACGCGTGCGTTCACATCGGCAACAGCTGTTAAGGGCATCAACGACAAATTTCAAAACTAAAATAAACATTTGCGTTGACTTGATATTACCTATCAACGTTTGTAAATTTACTGTCCCAATTTAAAGCGAATGGTATTATTATTATCGATGCCGGAATGCAAATATTTAATACGATAATTAACTTTTATAATTTTTTTATGGTGTCTGTATTAATTTACAGATAAACCTCGCAAATCTGAGATTGTGCCAATCCTGAATGTTGATTTAAAATTGTGATTAAATAATTCGGCAATAAAGGCATTTCTGCGTGGCCATAAGACGAGATGACTTTAATAAACAGCACTTCTTTAGGGATATTTTACATATGCGACTAATGCTAAAAACATTGGGCTCGAGTGCTCTGGTGCCTAATCAGGCGCTAATTGCAACTAATTCAACTTAAGTTTCAACGACTTTTTTCGTCTTCACGATATGTTATCTTTTTTTATTCGGTATTGATAATGATAAATAAAAAATGTGTAATTGTTGATTGCAATTCCGGAAAACGAACGAATTTAACCGCGGTTAACCGCGCATTGGAAAGCAAAACACAATTTATTAACATTACTTTACAATGAGTTACGGGTAAGAATTAACCAGACGGCTATCGCTAACATGTAGAAACAATAAATTTGAAACGATTTTGTATAAAGCGTGTCAACATCGTTTTTGTAAATTTAGAAACGTCGATAAGTGAGACAAGTAAATAATGTATTTTATGGAACTTTCATGAGATATTGGTGAGAAATATTATTTTGACCATGTCGAAATGCCATTATTGCCGATTTATTCACGTGTTTAGTTACTATCAGTGTTTTAACCCAAAGCTGAGTTACGTAAATACTTAACACTGAGTACTCAAGACAAGAGATAACCAATTTGCGGAGTTTTTCAATTATTATTTCATACGAAAGTAACACAGACACGATCTAAAATTAAAAGCATAGAAATGTCAACTATCTGCTTCACAAATATCGCATCCCGGGGTCAGTAATAATATTATTGTTCGCTTAAACTCGGGACGGTAATTTACGAACTGATACAAATCCTACACAGAAGATAAAAATCAGAACAAAATCAATTTTCGTTGTGGATGCGCTCATTAATAGTTGTCTTTAAAATCTTCGCCGATGTGAATTCACAATTCTATCCGAAATATAAAAACCAAACTACGATGTCCGCCGTTACGTGAGAATTAATATTTGCTAGTGAATAAAAACATGCTTTAATATAGTTTAACAACACGATCGCAGCGACAAAAAATTTACTGCAGTAATAGTTTCACATTTTCATGATTTTGATCGTCGCTACATGCGAGCGTGTTTTTGTACAAACCATGATGACACTACTGACATCTGCGAGTTATAGATCTCTCCAAATTTAATTTTCGCGATTTTTAATGTTTCATTTCTAGATGCGGATGCCCGCTGACTACGGATAAATGGTCGATGTTTAAAAATAGGACTTCGGACCGTTGGGCAAAAGGCGGGCTACACGTAACTGCGAAATTTCGCCGTGAACGACCTTACATTTTAGTTATAAACGCATTACGTCGTCGCGAATTGCAGTTTTGGTGTAATGTTTTTTCCCCCTAATCTCCCGTTAAAAAATCTGGCTGCGCCCCTGCCCGGTGATAATTCTAGCTAAAATGTTACAATTTTATTTACGGAATTTGCAAATTCACCATTTTGATAATCACGCCCTAATTATTGGTGCAAAAATACTCAAAATATCACGAATTTAATCATTTCCGATGTTCTAGGCGCAATTCATGACGGCGACAGTGTGCGTTGTTACATCGAAATTCACGATTGATTTTACGTTATACTCTTGTTCACGATTTCAACACTCCACCCGCCATGCATGGCTGAGTGGAGGTTCACATTTTCGAAACATTACTTGGCCAAGGATGGGAGGGATCACTAACGAGCTAATTGAAAGCACATTAAAAGGATTATGACTTGTCATTTTTTTCTGGTTATAGCCTGTACATGTTATACCATGTGTGGGCTCTCGGAACGTCAATTTAACTTTTAATTTTCGACAATCAATTGTATGTGCGGCTCCTACATGAAACGGCTAATTCATGCTGCCAATATACGGAGTTTGAAATCTGGGATATTTATTTCGAATAGTCTATTTATTTTGACTCTTCTAAAATTAGGAAGCTTTGTTGGTACCTTTTTTGGCGCAAAGTATGAAATTGAAACGATACGAATATTTTGCCCAGTCCTATAGGCGAGGTTATGATATTAAGCAGAGAATATTTGTAAGCATATCACTGGATGGAAATATTTTGCACCAAGACTGTTTGCAGAAGTTGATTTATCGAATACACGGAAAGTATTTATTTATCATCTCACTTGCGAACATCGGGGTTTGGGCGGAATTATACGATTATGTTGTTGTTCTTAATAATAACTTTTTCGATGAATGTTTATTTTACTTTTGTGTATTAATTATGATATGTTGAGTTTTCGTTTATTTCAAATTC